CGGGGGAAGAAGCTCTGGCGGGCGCCTTGCTTTGCGCCAGAGACAGAGAAAGCGGCGTTTGCGTTTGCGGTTCCGTTTCCGGTTCCCTTTCCTCCGTCTGCTTGGACACCTCCCGCCGGATGGCCCGCCAGTGTTCCTCGACGCCGACGATGATCCGCATCTCGCTGCTGCTGATCCGGAGCTTGCTGTTGAGCGTGGCGGTGTGGGCCGCGGATTCTCCCAAAGCACAAGGCGGACGGCTTGGAATGCCCTGGAGGGTGCTCTGAATGGTGCCCTGCAGGGTGCCCTGAATGGTGCCCGGGACGTGGAGCGGACCGGGGGGATTCCCGGCACCGCCCCTCGGCTCCGGCGGCGCGGGATACAGAGAGCCAAACGCACCGGTCCCGCTGGTGGTGTGGCCAACCGAATGGCTGCCAGTGTGGCCGACAGAGTGGCGAACGGCGCAACCGACATAGTCGCTGCTTCCAAAGGGGTCCTCCCGCCGGTGCTTCGTCATCCTCGCCATGCCCACCAGCAGGGCGGCCGCGGCGTTGCTGGAAGGGGACCGGTCCAAAGCAACCCCTGCGTAGGCTTTTGCGTTTGCGTTTGCTGCTGCGTCTGCAGCTGCGTCTTTCTCCGAGCGGGTTCCGCACGAGGTGACCACCGCCAGCGTTGGCGGTTTCCTCGGCGTGGCCGTCCCCACTCGAACGGGTGGGACGGATCCCTTGGCCGCTGCTCGTCCCGTTTCCCCCCCCGCTGCGCCTTCTTCCCTCGGGCTCATGCTTCGGTTCGGTGTGCTATTGTATGGTATCGTGTGGTATCGAATGGTATGGTATCGTGTGGTATCGTATCGTTTGGAATTGGTTCGAAACGAAACGAATGGAAACGAACCCCCCCCGGTGGCTTTCTTCCTTCCAGGCTTGCTGCTGCTGCTGATGGTGGTGGTGCTAGTGTGCTATGCTGCTACGCTGTCGTTCGTGGAGCAACGCGGCGGAACCTCTGCGCTGCGCTGTGTTGTGTTGTGTGGGTTCGCGCTTATTGGTTGGCTTCGCTTCGCTTCGCAATGGCCAATGGTGTGCTTCGGCATCTAGGGTACAGTACAAACGACGGTGGAAGTTGGCTTTGCAGGTTGGCTTTGGTCCCTTCTTCGCGGTGTTTACTGATGCGATGTGGTTGTGGTTGCGTTTGCGTTTGCGTTTGCGTTTGTGGTTGCGTTGGAGTGTGTGGCAAAGCACTCCCTCTGCCGTGTGATTGGAACGATGGGCGGGGTATTTCGGCCCGGGTGTCGGTCCGATGCGATGAGATGCGATGCGATGCCTTGGATCGGAACGGAACGGAATGCGGCGCAACCGAGTGCAAATGGCGTCGTAGTTTGGGTGCGTTGGAAGAGATGTCACTCGGGTTGCGCGGACCGGGCGGAACCGAATGCAATGCAATGCAATGTTATTGGACGGAACGCTGCGGATGGATCTCCGGAAGCCTACGAGTGTATCGTGCTCGTACACAGGCAATTGCGGTGCCGTAGTAGTGGTCGTGTCGTATCGCGTCGTATCGTATCGTTTCGTTTCGTATCGTACCCGTGGTCGCACCGTATCGTATCGTATCGTATCGGGGACCGCCGTTTGTCTCTCACAACAACAATATCTTTCCCCCGGGACGGCAATCTGCCTGCCAATGCTTTGCTTTCGGTCCTGGGAAGGCAAACGGAATACAAAACCCAACACGTGAACGATTGCGAAAGGATTCCTCGCTCACCTAACCGTCCCGTACGATCGCACCGTACGGAATGATGGATTGAAAAAAATAGTTAGGATTCCTCGATCCGTGTTTGGCCAATGCCGGAAGGGCCGCTACTCCACCGCACGGTAGACGGCCCCGTAGATAGAAAAAAATAGCGTCATTCGGTTTTCGGTTTTCCTTCCCTCGATCGGAAGAACGAAAGAAGATCGTTTTCTCTGCCTCATTTATTGAACCAATCCATCTGCCTGCGCTGCGTCGGTGCGGTGCGGTCCGGTGGGTTCCGTTCGTTTGCAGGAAAGGAAACCGCACAACGGGAAGACACCGGCGGCGTACGCACCGCCGCGTCATTGTTTCGGGGTGTCTTTTTCGGGTGTTCGGTTTTGGCGAGGGTGTCGCAGGTCGCAGTTCGTTCATCGCTGCCCTGCCCTCTGCTCCCGCGCCGTTCCGAGGCAACGGAACCGACGACGCGTACGGTACGGTACCGTACGGAACAATACTCGTATGTAGTGCACCGTACATACTTGTACCCTATCGTAGAGCTCTCCTTGCGTTTTGGTCGCCTCTCCGGTACGATACCAAACAACCCCGTTTCGCACCGTACGTTGCGAACGCAGTCCTGCCGCAAGACCCGGTCGCGGGAGATTCGGCGATTTTTACGGCGGTTAAAACTACAATGCAGTACTTTACTTTACTTTCCCCCGCAAGCACGACCACTCCCCGTTCGGCCAATGGGAATGCAATGCATGCATTCGCTGGTTCGTGTTACAGGAAAGGCCTGTACAATACCGTACGGTACCGTACGGACGCATCCTAGGCAAACGGTAGAGAACTCGTCGTAACGGCACTTTAACCCGTTCCGTTGACCGCCGAAACAAATCATAATCCTACCGTACGTACCCGGCCAGCACCGCAACGAACACTACCCGCATCATCATCATTGTCATTGTCATTGTCATTGTCGTTCCGTGAGCGATGCAAGCGCTAGCTGGCTTGCGAACCCTTCCGAACCGCATGGCAGCAAACCATCTGCGGATCCACGAACCGACCTACGGTACGGTGCTGACTCGACCGATTGTTCTTTTGTTCTTTTCGTTCTTTCCTTCTGTCCTTCTGTCTCACCGTGGTGCGATGGCATGGCATTGCTATTGTTTGCTTCTGTACTACCGTGCCGTACCGGTACGATGCCGTTCACAAAGCCAATAGAGCAGAGGACATGCGGAAGGTAGAAGTACTCGTACTCATTTCAGACGCCAATGCCAATGACGAGTCCAAGAAACAAGAGGTATCGTATCGCATCGTACCCTCCGGTATGGCACGCAGGGATTTTCCATTCATCCTTGTTGTTTCCTACTGCTTTCCTCGATAGTAACGAGTCTAATGAATGGAAGCAAAACAGTATCTGCACACAGCAGATCTTTGTTCAATGCAGTTCCGCAATGCGATAGCACAACAAGAGTATTACTAACTAGTCTAGCGGACGACGCACCGCTATGCTATTGGAATTTCTTATTCTACTATTACTGTTACTACCGTACAGCTGACACGAACAAGAAGTACCTGTGTGACTCTACTAGCTAGTACTGTGCAAGATCTAGCTCGTACCATAGTGTTTCGTGTGTTTCGGCACCTTTTTGTTGTTGTTTCTGTCACTCTGTGGAACGGGAAGAAGAATGAGTGGCTGCGATGTTTATGAATCTACCACTGCTGCTGAGTTCGAGAGAGGTTTTGTGACTGAAAACTACTTCGTTCTATTGTACGAATACTGTAGTACGTACAGTACTTAGTACTCATACTGTACCAGCGTAGGTTTCGTTCCTTGTCGTGTCATGGCACGGGAAGGCAGGAGAGACCAGAAGGGAAAGAATGAAATGAAGGAATGAATGAATCGAATCTTCCCGATTTTTGCCATCGGCTGACACCTTCGTGCGCACTGTTTTGTTTTTTGGGATTGCGACCAATTCTTAGAAAAGGACGGAAGCGTGTCGTAGGGTTCCGTTTGCAGCCGGGTACCATCCGATACCCGTAAGTGCAAGAACCTTGCGTTACTGTACGTACGTTGCAACCGGATCGATGCGCACCGCACCGTAGCGTATGTACCGTAGTGTACTCTGTGTACGGCACAGTAGATACCTCGAAACTTGAATTCCCCTGGCTTCTAGCAGTACGTACATTAGTGGTAGAAGTACCGTACAGTACTCACTTGWAGTACAATAGTACGTAAAGGYTYGCCTTCCGTACTCCCTGATTCCAGCACCATTGGAAGTCGCGTGAGATCGTTCACCGGTTTACATAGGGTCCTCTGTTTCTACCGAAGCACTAGTTTTTGAGAATGTTGACACCTCCCGTAATGCTACTCGCACCATTCGGTTCCATCAGCCAACTTCGTACCATTACGTACTGAACCTTCGCTGAGACGCAAGGCAATCCCAATTGTGTTGCCGCAGACCGCAACGAGCCCAAAAAAAAACTAGACACCGAGTATTGCTTGGCCTGTCCGCAACAAAACAGGACGCAGATTCAAAACCGAATCCTTTTTCTTTTTCTCTCGTGCAATCCAGGGCTGACGCAAATGAACGAATGAACCAGAACCGAAACGAATCGTAACGAATCAACACCGCCACCAACGATAGACAGCGGCAACAGCAACGGCAACAGCCACGGCTAAGTCGCCAGCAGCAACATCAACAGCTACGGCATACCCCTGAGGATTTTGTTACTCGGTCTCTCTCTCGGAATCGCATCGCACGGTACTCGTACTCTATTGCTCTGCCCACGAACTCTGCTGTTTAGGTAGACAAGGACGGCATTGGAATTGCAATCCATCCGACCGCATCGATCGTGCATCCGAAGTGAGGAAGAGAAACCAACCGCTGTATGGACCAACCGCCCCACAACAACTAATCCATCATCGGTTGCAAGCAACGGAGCGGAAGAACGAACACCCATCGGTATTGCAAGGGCAGCGCTTGGCGGGCACCATCCGGAGCGCAGGCATGGCGGATCGCAACAGGGCCGACGGGTACGAAGACCACGGGTGCTGCGACACCAGCGACGATCCAATGGTTGGACCGGGGGAACCCGGGGCTAGATCGCGGGACGCCGTGGCGTGGATCCCGCCGGGAGCCGCTTCGGGCGATGTCCACGAGCCACCAAGACACACCAAACCCCCGGCGCCGGGCAGGGGAAGGCCGGCCGTTCCCGCGACGCCTCTGGCACCGAACCGCAAGGGAAGAATACGGACCCGGAAGAACTGGAAAACCGGACCGCAGGAAACGCGTTGCTTTGTTCGGGGACGCGAACCGGAAACGAGTCCTTTGGCGGGCGAACGAGAAGACCGGAAGAAGAGGAGAGCTGCCTTTCTCTCTGCCGCATTGATCGCTGGATTTGTGTCTGTGCTGGTTTGTTGTTCGATCGGTGCCGTTCGAACTGCAACGTCTACGAGGCATCCCTCCTACTGTGGGGAGGGAGGAACGAACCATCACTGCGGCAACGATACACAACCGGGGATAACAACGGAAGCAGCAACAGGGAATGACAGGCTCTCAAAGTTGGTTGCAACAAAACGAAGCAAACATCCCTTGGTGCAAACCAAAATCAACACTACTGCCACGAACAACTCTTCCACGATAGATGCAAGTCCCGACGAACACGGAAGCAAAAACACGACCCATTACCTGCCTTGGTCGTCGTATTCTCCCGGCCCTCTGCCTGCTTGGGCATCGTCCCTATCACGGATATTGCCAGACCTGGGGAGAGGCGATCGCCAACAAACGGAGGACGACGAAGAAGTCGTGCCACTGATCGATCACTTGCGAAGGAGATTGTACGGAAGCAGAGAAAGTCCATCGTCGTCGTCTTCCTCGACCTCATCTTCGTCTTCATCGTCGTCGTCGTCGTCGTTCTCGCCCGACACCGGAAAAACAAACGATCCACAATTGGTCATTGCCGGGAAGATGACCGTCGACGACGCCCTYTGCAACATTGCTCAATACAACCTCAGGACTAAAAAGTGGTCCCTGACGGAACGCATTCAGTTGAGTTTGTACAATTCCTATTCGGGTGGCGAAGTCTATTCTCTATTGGCGAACCACACCAATACTGCGGAAGCYGCATCGATCAACCCAACGAATTCGATCGTGCCCGCCAATTCACACAGCAAAACGAAAAACAAAATCCGAACCAAGAGCAGTGACAACGAAGGGAGCGGGGAACTCATCGTGGTGGGTGCCTTTGATACTACGTATCGCAACAGCCAAGTCACGTACTGCTCGGTTGGAAAGTGGGACGGGTCCGAACTCTCCAAGGTCGGCGAAGGATTGTGTAATTCTGCCTTGTCCAAAGGTATGAAAATCACGACAGCGGCCATGGCAGGACCCCAAGACGTCTACGCGGCCGGGTCGTTCCAGACACAGGTGTGGAACGGTGACAGGCACGAATTCGTCAAGATCTACAACATTGCCCATTACAATGCTGCCGGGGAGGGAGGGCCGGTTTGGCTTCCGCTCAACGTYGGACAAATAACGTGTTCTTGGTGTACCGTCACGGTCTTGGCCCTGGCATGGGATGCCAAACGGCAGCAATTGCATGTCGCTGGGAAATTTAACGCCATAGACGGACGGAATGTTCCAGCGGGCTTGGCTATTTACGATTTAAAATCGGGACGATTGGTGGCGCATCCAGGAGGCGGTCTAGCTATGAAAAACCTGACGGAAGATGGGGTCGGAACGGCGCTTCAGCTGGACGAAGAAAAGGGCGTTTTGTACGTGATGGGGTCGTTTGAACGATTGACGGCCACGGYGGAGGTGTGTATCGGTTTGGCCGCGTACGACATCAATTCAAACCGCTGGACGTGCCTTGCAAATTCTGCACATACCGTACAGCCAACAGGAGGCGGGAATATGATTTTGACGCCATACGGCCTAATGGTGGCCGGGAAAACATCCGGGAAAGAAACTACTTGGGAAGACGATAGCCGGCCATATACGATTGCTCTTCTGCACACCACGCTGAAGACACACCAAGTAGACAACCATACCGATACCGTTTCTGCTTCTTCTCACGAGAAAAGTCACGAAAAGGTTACGAAAAGTTCAGGGAAGACGTTTATGTCTCCCGTATCATCGTTGATATTGTCAACTGCGAATAAATCATCTTTCGAAGAAACACATGGTATTAGAAACGCCAATAACAAGAGCGATAGTGCTCGGTCACAACCTAAAAATGTCTCCTACCATGAATTTGAATGGTCCTGGCTCCCTGGTTTCCATGGTAACGACGAACCGCTACATGCCTTGGCTAACGGATTTGGTGATCACGAAGGTGCTGTKTTCATTGCAGGAGATAATTTGGTTGCGAA